GACCAACGCCAAGTTGAGTTTTCTTTAATACATCAGACTGTAGTTTGTAAGAACAGCCCAAAGTTATCAGAAAATTAAAACTCAGGAATGTAACTGGTGATCATTTTTCTTTTTTTTTGGTCGAATACATTTTTCCTAAGGTTTGCTGTTGTTTTTTTAACTTAATATTCCATGGAGTTTCCAAATCATTCTACCTATTACAGCTCCAGATTCATTGTTTTTCCTAGAACATTATATAGACCTTGAATCATTTATACATCAAGTGCTGTTTCTGAATGATGCATTGGCAGACATATGGTAGAGATTTTAATAGTAATGATAAAAAATAGGACTCAAAGAAGAGTTCTTAAAAAAATGTGCAGTCATTTAATTTCTTTGTATAGCTCAAAGATTTTAATTGACTTTACACAGTTTTCTAATGTAAGTTTAACTATTTTAAAACACAATGCTCATACCAAATTTTTACATACCTAAAGAAAATATGAAGTCGATGTCAAGCAAAATAATGTTACCTTTTTTAAACCTGAATGGTAAGCCAAAATTTGGAACCCAGGAGGGTTTTTTGTTTTGTTTTGCATTTTCTGGATGAATAAATTGGTGATGAAGTCTGAATCCCTTGAATTAATGTTGCATATATTTAAGTCTTGGTTTCTTGAGTACTTAAACTGAACAAGAGAAATATGCTTCTTTCATTGCATCTTTTATGTCTTGTAATGTCTTATTAAATGTCTTTTGGTTCATTCTTAGCCCAGTAACGTTCCCCTTGGGCTACCCTACCTGTGTTTCCCTACCTGCTGAATCTTCTCCTTCCTGCTCCTCAGCTACACAGCTCCCTGCAGGGCCGAGGGACAGAAATCCAGATCATCAGGAACACAAACCCAAATCAGCAGGGTTTTCACCCACCGGGGCTTTGACCTGCATGGTGAGTGGTTGTTCATTGCCCCTGCTACCAGGGCATTCGCCGAGTCAGCAGCTGAGGTTGTATCTCTTCAGTTTTCTTAGGAAGAATTATTGGAGCTTACAAGTAAGTGAGCTCAGGCGCGCTGGGGTGTTTTTAAAACACCAGCCAGTGAAACTCCTTGGTTAGCTGTGTATGGAGGAGATTATTCCTCTGCTGTCTATTCACAGTCATGAAAAATGTTAAGGGTAAATGAGCTTTTAACAGCTATCATGAACATTTTTCTTCCTAGCTTTAAAGAAACATGAACTAACTCTTAAGAATAAATGACTCCTGAAATATTTAGCAGTCTAAAGTTTCCTTCTATAAACAAGAAATTTAAAACATAGAATATCTATTTTTTTTCCTTAGTTGTCTGTATGAAAATTATCCATTCTCTATTAGGGGGAAAAAAAGTTATTTTAAATTGATATTTTGTTCTTATATTTCTGATTGTTTTTGAGAAAACTGAATAGACATGGTACTGGTCTTTAAATCTCTGTTAGGTATTGATGGTATATTAATTTGGTGTTATATTAATTTGAAATTACTTTCCTTAATATACCATGATATTTTTTGTTGCTTACAATCAAACTGCAGTTGCAGCACATTGAGGAAATCAGTACAAACACATTCATATACATTAAGTATATAGCTGAGCTGTCATATTTGTGAAACCAGTAAAGACGGAGTTAATCCTTACATCCTCTACTGATATTGCCGACAAATGAAAGGGAGCTGTAAATTTTCTGCATAATGATGAATTAGATAGATAGAAATTCAGAGATTTGAGAAGCGTGTTAGTCAACTATTACATTTTCATAGTTGGAGTGTTTCATTTACATGCATCTAGTTTCCTTATTGTGACACTTACAAAAGAATCTTCATGCTTTTGAAGCCTAGAAGAAAAGGTCTCTCAATATTTGATGAGCAAATATACTCGAAATAAGTCTTAGCTGCTCTATCAAAAGCA